CATGTTGACATCCAACTGGTAAAATTCTGCCTGATTATGTGTTATGTTTCTCTTTTGGCACATGTTTGGCTATTGTATTTTGATGTGTTTGGTTTATAGTTTTCTTTGCCATTATTTTTCATTGCCTTTTAGATGAATTTTAGAATGATTTTTGTTAGCGTCTCAAAAATGCCCTCTTGGGATATTTGTTTAGGATAGCATTGAATTTGTGGGTTATTTGAGAAGGCAAGAATTGGCATCTTTACCATTTTGACTGTTTCATGTTTTCAATTTCTCTAGCACTCTGTGCCTTTCATGACATTTGTCTACCCTTTGGATGTTTTCATCCTCCCGCTTTCCCAGAATCACTTTATTGTTGCCATAATTTTCTATGTTACTAATTACCGCTCTTCTCTGTGTGAACTCATTGTTTATTAATTTTAGTCTTTTCCTAGCTTTTTGGCCTGAAAACGTAGTCTATTCTTTCCCAATACTATTCTAGCTAATGCATCTAGGGCATATATATTCCCTGCTGAGTACAACTTTGGCCAAATTCTTAAAGTTTGACACACAGTTTATATAATGTCATTCCTTGCTGACAAGAACCCTACTTTGCATCTTAATATCTTTATTCGAGGGTTTATTCATAATTTTATTTTTAAATTTCCAAATTTATTTTGGTCAGGTTGTTATTTTTAATTTCTCACTCCTGTTTGCCTTTAGCTTTACCTATATGATTTTTGCTTTCTTTGAGATTTGTTGGATTTTGCTGTTGTTGTTAACACCTAATACATGGTCAGTTTCTAAAACTGCCCCATGCATGTTTGAAAATAATTTATTATCCCTGTTAATTGGATATGACTTTTCTACATATCTATTAGACTGAATTTGTTAATTATTTTATATAAAATATTTCTTTCCTTATTTTTCTTTATCTACTGAGATCTGAGCGAGAGATATGCTAACTCATAGTACAATTGTTACTTTATCTATGCCTTCTCATATTTCAATGATTTTTTCCTTTTATATCGTTTTAAGCCTGTGTTCACAGGTAAATAATACTGACTGTTACATGCCTATAGTGATCTGGATCTTTTATCACAATTGTCTGCTTTGAGCCTTTTCAATTTAATTTTGTTTGGTCTGATGCAATTGCTACTTTATCTGCTTTCTTTTTATTAGTATTTATGTTTGGTGTTGCTCTTTAAAGTCTTTTTATTTTCAACTTGCTTGCTGCTACATGTGTACCTCATGTATCATGTCAGAGCAAGAATAATTTAATCCAAGATGGAAGTCCGTGTCTTATAATGAATGACATTAACCCAGTCCCATATATGATGACTGATGATCCAATTGGACTTACTATTTTAATGTTTCAGTTTTAATTATTGTGCTTATGATTGAAACCCTTTTTCATCTATGTATTCCTAGAGCCTACAGAAAACCTGCCTCAACATATGAAGTGTTTAACAGCTAACTGATTAAAAACTTCCTTTATCCCCTGTGCTAGTCCTGGTAGACTAGAGAAACAAATCCAGAGATACTCATATAGGTGTAAGAGAGAACCTTGTAAAGACAAACTGAGGCACAGGATGAGTGAGAGGTAAACTGAGGCACAGAGATGGCCAAAGATAACGGAAAGGACAAAGGGAGAGCAGAAATGGAGATAGCTTTAGGGGGAGCTCCCGGGCGGGGCATCACAGGTTTTGCCTGGGGTCTGGGGTTTTTAAAGGAAAGCGGGGAGAGGGGTGTCCATGCTTCAGGGGAAGGCTTATGGTCCATGATGTCAGCAGTAAAGTTTATGGCCAAGGATGCAGTTTATCAGCTCTGGCATGCAGGGTGTCCTGTTATCAGGGAGTCAGGCATCCCTGGCACCATCTCTCGGTCTCCTTATTCCAGGGGACAATGACCTTTGGGGACCTGCAGGGAAGTTGGGCCCCAGCCTGCTTAAGCTTAGCCCAATTATACCTTATATCAGAGAGTAGTTGTATATTAAGAAAATATCCCAGCTCAGTCCAGATCAAGTCCCTACGTCCAATATTAGCCCATATACCTGATAGCAGTCAATAATTTCCTTTTCAGACTCACACAACACATGCAATGACACCAAATGCAGGAAGATCACAGGCCAGTGTATGGAAAGTCTTCTGAATGCAGTGGCAGTGGAAGCATCTCAGTGCTGGTGTGGGTCTCCATGAGACTCCTCCAGCCCCAGGGCTCTGGTTCCATTAGGGGTCTCCATGTGGCTGTCAGCAGGAATACGGCGCAGAGAGTGTCTGTGTGCCCCGCCTACAGCAAGCTATTGATTCCATAGCATCTCCAAGCGAGGTCATTAACTGTGACCTGATTGACAGGCCAGACTCCACCCCTTTGCAAGTTGACAGGAGACTATGTAATTGCCACACCCCCGAATTCTCAGCTGATTTAAGCAACAACTTAAATGTGGCAATGGAGCTCAGTTGTAATGAGGTTAGAGGTAAAGTTGAAATTAGTGGTGAAAGAAATTTCCAGAAGAGTTTAGTTACATTATTAAGTGTAAGGATTTTTTCCCATTTGTGTAGTTTTCACTTGTTCTATTTTAAGATTTATCAAAATACGTGATCTGGTTTCTGTTGATAATGAAGGCAGAGGTAGGCACCGAGTAGTGATCTGAGACTTGGGGCAGGCAATCCAGGCTAGCATCTCCGCGAACCATGCCCTTTCTAAGAAGGGAAAGACACTACCATATCAGTCATCCGTGTTAACTCAGCTCTGGGTGTCTTATTTCTTTTACTTCCAGCAGTATCTGCTGGAGTGCTAGATAATTGGATGATTAAAAAATTATTTTACAGAAGATTGCTCTTGCAAAAGAACCAGTGTGTACTGGATAAAGACAAGCAGATTTAATTAAGGTTATATAAAATGAAATCAGGATGGCTTACAACCCATTAGGCATTCTTTCCATAACTTAATTGGCAGACATTAAAAAGTTGTAAGAGAAGCATACATTATGTCCTATTGGGAAGAATATTAGATCCGGCAGCAAGGGCCTCTGAGGCTTGGCAGTGTCACCTGGTCTCTCGGGTTTCTTCCCACTCAATGCTTCCAAAGTCGGTTTCTGGAATATCTATCTGAAACTCAAGTAACTTTTGACCTAACCACTGCCTTGAAAATTCTGCTGTGAACTTCTTCACAGCTTAGATCAGATTAATCCTTTTTGGTTATTGACTAGTATACACTTTGAAGGTTACATAGATTTGAATAATGTTATCAGCATGCTGCCTTTTTTTTTTTTTTTTTTTAGGCCATTATACATCACCCAGCTATGGAGCTCAGAGGGCCAAACTCTCTAGCTTCTCTAGTCTTATTTCCTTGTTCTGGGACATGCCCACCTTGTGATTCCTCGGCCCTTGGAAGAAAGCTACAGGTGGCAGGGTGTGTAGGTCCAATGTCATCCTTCTAGGCAGACACTATTGATTTATTTCTATAATATTGGGTGGTCCCAGTTTGTTTTCTCTGCTTTCTTCTTTCTTGGAATGACAATCATGTATAGTAGATGATAAACTGGGAGACCACAGGGATATAACCTTTTCCCTGAATTCTGATGGGAAACTTGGAGATTTGGTTTAAAGTTCCAAACCTAAATCAAATCCACTGCTTCAGAGTCCATTTTGACCCTTCAGGGCCCGTGCGTTACCTAGTAGACCTGCTGCATGGTTCTTGTTTTTTCTCCCTCGCTGTCATCTCTCCAGCAGCAGACCTGTATTCCACAGCACTGCCAATGGGGTTCAGAGAGCCAATATGTAGGTCAGTGGTTGGGTGCACAGGATTGTGCCACTCCGGACTTTGTGCAAGGAGCCCTGGTCGCCCAGTGGGCGATGAGTTGGGTGGCTCAGCACAGAGTCAGCAGTTTGAACCCACCGGCTGCTCCTCGAGAATAAGATGAGCTTGTGTGCACCTTTGAAACCCCAAAGGGGCAGCTCTACTCTGTCCTGTAGCGTCGCGATGGTTCACAGTTGACCTGATGGCAACGAATTTGTTTGGTTAGTTGGTTGGTTTGAACTTTGTGATCTAAGGTTCAAAAAACAAATAAACAAACAAACAAAACTCACTGCTATGGGGTCAAAGATGACTCAAAATGACTCTATGGAAGAGGGCAGAGTGGACCCTAGGAGCTTCCGAGACGGTAACTCTTTATGGGAGTAGAAAGCCCTGTTTTCCTTTCGCAGAGCAACTGGTGTTTTCAAATTGGTGACTTTGCAGTTAGTAGCCTGATGCGTAACCACCATGCCATCAGGGATCCTTGGTCTAAGGTTAGGCTTTAGCATTTCAAAAAAAAAAAGTTGAAAAATTCTAAGCTTCGATCCTATCTTGGTTGTTAGGGGCCAAGGCCAAGACTGGCCAAGGAAAGGTAGCATTGGGCAGAGCAAGTGGATTTCCATAGCTCTATAAATGATACCCTACCCCATCAGCATTCTATTCCAATGGTGTCTAGGCTTAGTTTTGGCCCCAACACCATTTTCTTCTTCCCCACCTTCTCATTGTTAGCCTTGGGGGATGCTGATATTTGAATGGTAGTTTTCCCACTAAGTGTCTTGTCTGGGAAGTCCAGTGAGCTCTTTCGAGGTCTCTGGCCAAGACTCAGAGGGACCTCTGAGTGAGCTCAGATATGCTTTAGCTTGGCCACATCTACATTAACCAATGCATTTAGCAGAAAGACTGGAAGGAAACTCAATACAAGTTTAACTGTCTTCAGCCCTTAATCGATGGAATTGTAAATATTTTCTTATAGTCCTTTACTAATATTTCTCATTTAAAGATGTCATATATGTATATATATTTAGAAAGAAGCCATGGAATAAAGAATGACTTGTAAGAGTACAGACATGAGTGATCTGATTTCTGCTAGCAAAGAGGGCTGTGGCGCTGCCTGGGTGGGTTATTATTTTCCCTGGTCCCGGTGCTTCTGGCCCGTGCTCCTCGTGGAGGCCCTCTCTCATGACTGTGGCTGGATTTCCTAACCAAGTGTCTCCTCCCTCTAGAATGGCTGCAGTCTGTCCAGGCCACCATGATCCTATCCATCATCTTCAGTGTCCTGTCTCTGTTCCTGTTCTTCTGCCAGCTCTTCACCCTCACCAAGGGAGGCCGGTTTTACATCACTGGAATCTTCCAAATCCTTGCTGGTAAGTAGTGGACAGTAAGGTCCACGTGGAAGACAGATATGATAGACATATCCACAGTTCTGGGTTGGTAAGTTCCCGGAAGGGTGTGGGATCAGTCCCAGAATGACTGATGATGGTGATAATGAAGTGGTGTGTGTGCGTGGATAACTCAGAACATGGACACTCTTTACTTCATTGTGGAATATGGTCTATAGGAGAAAGAAGGTTTGGGGGGAAAATCCTTTGGAAGGAATGTTCCCAACCATAGCAGACCAATCTTAGAAAGGAATGTACAATCTGGACAAACTACTGGTAATTGCTGAGGATATAAATAGAGTAAAAGACCACCCTTAAAGCTATTTCTTGTTGATTGCATCGTGTTCCAAGGACTCATCCCCGTTTCAGTATAGAAAATGCCCCCAGTGTGCCGAGAACTGAGAACTGGCAGGGATGTTCTCAAGTATGTGTTCTCTACCTGTAAACAGTGCTGAAGTCAGGCAGACAAATTCTTATTCTCCTCTGGGCCAGGATCTAGATTTGACTTACTGTTGCCATCGGATTCTTTCATCTTGACACCCATTTGGAGCATGCCAACTATTTCCAAGCATGGGTCCACGACAACAAATAAAAACACAAGGGAAAATTGTGTTTTTAAACACAATTTAATTGTGTCTCTCAAAATTGTCGTTAAATTCTTCAATTGGATAGGTTATTCTGGAGGCGGCTATACCAGCATATCCACAGCATGAAGAGTTCTAGTATCTTCCATTGCAGCAGATGGTGACATCTTTCAAACTTTTCTCTAGATTCTAGACAGCATCTTACATCATGGACTCCTGACCATTGATTGCCAGTTACATGAGTCAAAACAAAAGGTCATTGGAGAGAAGTGGTGGGTGAATTCTACAGTCCAAGTGTGTAAATTGCAAACTCCATTTGGACCAGAGCAGCTCTGGGCCTGGGGATCCTGGCCTTAGTAATCCTATGAGATGTCCTCAATCCTGGCCTTCTGAGTAGGCAAAGGACATAGCTCTTCTTGTTTTCGTTGGTGTCTGCATTTACCTGGTGTCCTATCACCACCCTGCGGAAACAATCATATGTGTTTGGTGGATATATAAATTGAAATAATTGCTTAGACAGTTTTATGGGAGGGCACACTGGAGGCTGAGTGTTGATTACCTTTTCTAGAAGTCAGAGTTACCCTTTGCCCTGTAAAAAGGAGTAAATAAGAGATCATTTGCTTGCTGTCATTAACACTTAAACATTTCACCATTCTGGCTTGTGGGATTTCAGAACTAAACAGTGTTTTGCTGCTTGTGTAGTTTTTTTTTTTTTTTTATCATATTAAGGCAAGCTCCTGGATGGTTTCCTGCTTTGCTACATTATGAATTATGCCAGGTGACATCATTTCTTGGTATTTTAAAAGCAAAGGGCAATCATGATTTGCTCAATTTCTCGACCCAAGGAGGCAATGCAGACAGCTGTAATGGATTTTCTGGTTTCTTTTTTTTTTTTGGCTCACTGCCTGTAGCTTGTTATCAGATCATATGATAGTTTCCATTGCAGTAGAGGTTGTACTCAAGATAAATTAATAAAAATGTAGGAACCAGAAATTTCATAAACTACTTTTATTTAATCTGTATAAGCTTCTTATTTAACCAGTTAGTAAACTGAGGCTGGGCAAGGTTAAATGAATATTGAAAGTCACCAGATCATGCCAGGGGCAATTGAGTCCTCCCCACCCTCCCCCATACCATGTTGATTGACTAGAGTGAGATAGCTTCTAATGTTTAGAAATGCAAAAGTCACTAAGGAGTATCAGATCGAAGGCAGAAATTCTGATTTTTACAACAAAAGATCATGTCAGTGTGTCCCATTGTCGCCTCTGAGATCAGAACTAGTCAAACTGAAAATACTTGACAAGACGAGCTAGGTTCCTACTGAAGGGTTGGTCAGAGCAGGCAGTAGCTGCCTCTGCATTCTTCCCACTGAGATAGCTCAATTTTAAATTCTCTGGCCAGATCTTTCTAGCATTGTCACGTCAGCCCCAAACCCCAAATCCAGACTTAAAAGCCATCATCACACACATTGTCTCAGCGCTGTAGACACAGCTATGTCATGTGCCAGAATTTCAATTCAGGTGTTGAGATTTCCTAATCCTCCAGAATGTAATTGCTCGTCTATATTTGTTTCACTCCTTTGATGATTCTCCGAATCTATTATAAGCCTTTCTGAATTCTGCTACCACCCCGTTACAGAAGGGTCGTTGGGAGGAGACAAGCCAGTCAGGGTGCAGGGTAGCAACGATGAAACATACAACTTTCCTCTAGTTCTTAAATACTTGCTGACACCCACTATCATAATCCCAATTCTACTTTATAAGTCTGGCTAGACCCAAGGATGTACAATGGTACAGATAGGAACTAGAAACACAGGGAATCCAGGACGGATGATCCCGTCAGGACCAGTGGTGAGAGTGGTGATACCTGGAGGGTGGAGGGAATGTAGGGTAGAAAGGGGAACCAATTACAAGGATCTACATATAACCTCCTCCCTGGGGGACGGACAACAGAAAAGTGGGTGACAGGAGACATTGGACAGTGTAAATATGACAAAATAATAATTTATAAATTATCAAAGGTTCATGAGGAAGGGGAGAGCGGGAAGGGAGGGGGAAAATGAGGAGCTGATATCAAAGGCTCAAGTAGAAAGCAAATGAGGAGGGCAACAAATGTACAAATGTGCTTGACACAATGGATGTATGTATAGATTGCGATAAGAGTTGTATGAGCCCCCTATAAAATGATTTTTAAAAAATCCCCTTGTATGTGCTCTGCTCCAATCTCATTTGTAAAATGCTATCACTTGTTTCAGTCATTTGACTCTTCCTCCTGTCTTTGCTAAAACGTCCTGTCTGATTTGCAGCGCTAAAGACCTCAGAAATACTATTTCCCACATGTGGTAGCCAAGCCAATTCAAAAGTGATGTGATTGGGAAAATTATTCCAATCTTGTCCATGCCAACATAGTCATTTCATATCAAAACACTCATGCTATCACTAGTGGTGCCCTCAGAAAAGACAGGTGCTCTAAAAGTTGTGTACAATTTGGTAAATAATAAATACTATTATTTAGTATAAAACAAACTTGTATCCTTATGAATCAGTCATGCTTTCATTAGACGAATGATTTCATGAAAATATCTTTGTCTTCCATTCTTTTCTTCCATTTATATCCAATGAATGTTTTCTAAAACATTGTAATAACCCTAATCAACAATTTCATTTATTGGACCTCTCCCCCCATGATAATTACTGGTTGAACAAAACAACAGTGAAAAACATCCAGTATTGCTTGCAAACTTCTCTAGCTCCAAATATTTGCTCGCTCTTGACAGAACTTACAGTGAAAACACATCTGCCCAGAGGCAATATAAGAAGGATTAAACGTCGTGAAATTGTGCTTTCAAGTGAGTGGCACCTCCACATCACCGCAAGTCATAGAAAACAATTTTCAGAATCTTGATGGTGCTATCCAAGAAGTGTTGGACTACTGACTGCCAAGTTCATGGTTCACATCCATGAGCCCTTCTGCGGTAGAATAATGTATAGCCTTGGGAACCCTAACTAGGGTGGCTATGAGTCAGACCCCATCCAATAGCAGCCAGCTGAGGACTTTGCATGAAAAGTGGAGAATTTCAAAGATAGGATTGATTGATAAAAGGTAAAAATGTCACATTGTGAACAGGCCTTGGCCTTGAGCACTTTGCAACTCTCTTTAATATATTTAAACCATGAACTGTATGGTATGTGAATTATATGTTAACTAATGTATATGTATTACAAAACTATTAAAATTGGACTTCATGATACAGCATAAAAGAACTTTCGATGCATTATGCTCAGTGAAGTAAATAAATCACAAAAGGACAATAAATAAATAAAAACAAACAAAAACACCACCCTGATTTAAAAGCACATGATTTCCTCTTTTGTTAACCCCTTCAGAGCTAACCTTTTGTCTCCCATATGACCTAATTTTCATTTAGTCAGTTCAGTGGTCCGTATGTGAATAGAAAGTTATTCTAAATTAGAAAAGCTGAGTCATAATAGTATTGCAATTCATAAATCCTAAAGATGATGTTCTTAAAACAAGACCCAAGCCAATTCCGTCAAGTCGGCTCTGACTTATAGTAGCCCTACATAGTGTTCCCAAGGCTGTGAGTCTTTATGGGAAGAGACAGCCTTGCCTGTCTCCTTTGGAGCTACTGATGGGTTTGAACTACCGACCTTGTGGTTAGCAGTCTAATACTTAACCTGGGGCACAGATAATGTTCTTAGCATGTATCTGAAAGTTCGTCTTCTACGAACCTCCAGTCCAGTGTTGCCCTTGACAATGTGGTCATCCTTCTACTAAAGCCTGAAGATGAGAAGAGCTAGTGAGTGTATTTAGAGCTGTCCTGACTCCTTTACCATCTAACAATTCTAAATCAATGCTGGTGCACACGCAGGTGCACACACGCATGATTCGGTTTGTTTCTCAATTCAGTCCAGCAAGGAGCCAGCACTTAGAGAGCCAATTAGGACAGGGTGGTTGAGGTGAGAACGAATGACAGCCTGAGCAGTTCATAGCTTCACACGGAGGAAGAAATCAGAGCAGAAGGGCTAAACCAGCAAAGAGAACCCTGAAAGACTAAAAGGCCGAAGGAAAGAGGCGAGGAAGGGAGGGAGGGACAAAGGAACTGAGGGAGCCTACCGCAGAGGGCTGCTTACTAATGCGGCCATGTGTGCCTCGAAGCCCTGGAGCAGTGGTTCTCAACCTTCCCGATGCCTCGACCCTTTCATACAGTTCCTCATGTTGTGCTGACCCCAACCATAACTTTATTTTCGTTGTTACTTCATCACTTTAATTTGCTACTGTTATGAATCGGGTGACCCCTGTGAAAGGGTCGTTCAACCCCCAAAGGGGTCGAGACCCACAGGTTGAGAACCAACTCCTGTCCGAAAGCATACTAAGAGGAAG